AGAGCTGGCCTTTGTTTGCTGGCATTTATGTACTTGCCCCTTGCATTGTGGCAGCATGCGACAGTAGGTCGTAGTTGTCTGCCTGCAGTGCTTCGTTGCACAAAGAGCAAGTAAGTGGGGCGTTGGTGCCCGCGCGCTCTTTGGCGGCGGCATGCGAAGTAAATCGCACGTATGTGCATGTAGCCGCGCTGATGCGTATCAGGCGATAGAAGGTGGGATTTATTTACCTGCCTCGTGCAGGGTGGCAGCGAACGGTTTAGATGATCGTCGTTTGTTCGTGCGCTACTTGGTCGCGGGTGGGTGGCAATTATATGTTCGCGCGCTACTTGGTGGTGGCGGGCGAAGCAAGTGGCATTGAATGTTCGCGCGCTACTTGGTGGCGGCAGGCGCAGCAGGTCACGTGCATTCCCTTCCACCCGCGCTGTTGCGCATCTGGCGTAAACAGGCGGCTTTTATTTGCCAGCCCCAAAGTGTGTAGCATCAAGCGGAAGTGGGTGATATTTCTTTGCCGGTTGCAAAGCAGAGTGCGTGGCAGCTGTTGCCCGCTCACTCTTTTTGTCTTGGCTGCCGCTTGACTGCGCGCGCCTGCCTATCTACCCAGCGGCCCATCTATCTGCATATCTACCTATATTGTTACGTATGTATTACCCACCGACCCATATATCTATATCTCTATCCATCTACCCTTCCGTCTACCACCTACCTATTTATCCACCTACCCTCTACCCATTTATCTATCCATCCATCTACTTATATATATGCTTAATTTCCTCTCTATCCACCTCTTTTTTTCTTCCCTCTCTCTCTATATATATATATCCAGCTCTCTACCCACCTCTCTATCGATGTATCTCTCTATATCCGCCGCCCTAACATCTATTTGGTAATGTTGGTGGTAATGGTGAGAGGTGGTGGCGGTGGTGGTGGTGGCGATTGCAGGGTGGTGGGATGGCCCTGGACATGTGAAGGGTTGGTTTCGTTCATGCTACTGCACCGCAGCGCGTTGCCAGCAGCGCTTGGTCGCGCATGCTCTAGCGGACGCGCGCTCGAAACAAAAAACAACCCGACTGCAATCCTTCGCGCGTTCGGAGCACTAGCAGAGCTTGGCGCCGCGAAGCGGGTGGCCGATTGCATCGTCGTCGTTGTTCTCGTCGTCGTCGTCGTGCTCGCCGTCGACATCGCCATCATCACCGCCGCCCACATCGCCGCCAGCAGCCCCGGCATCATCATCGCCTCCGTCGTCGTCGTCGTCGTCGTCGTCCTCACCGTAGTCGTCGTCAGGGCTTGGCGCAACCTAATTGCCATTGGGGCTCGTCCTCAAGCGTACCGCGAAAAGGCGCCGAGTGGCACCAGATCTGGTCACTGTCGGTTTTGTCGTAGCTCTAGTGGCTTCCGCCCTGGAGCCCCTGCCAGTCCGGGCCGCTTCCCAGCGCCGCCGAGGGCTGTCCGCTCGCGGGGGCGCCCCGGCCCCGCGTGCCCGTCGGCGCGCGCGCGACCGCGCGCAAGGGCTTCGTCCGCGTAAGAAAGCGCTGGCCATCTCCCTTTGCGGCGAAACAGTGCAGGAGCCGAACCCGCAAAGGCGCGCTGTCAGAGACTGGCGCGCCGCCGCTCCGCGCCGCGCATTCGTGGCGCATGTACTTTTGGCGCCCCGCCCTTTCCCGGACGGAAGTTGCGTGACATGGAGGCCGCGGCCTTTCGCGCGCCCCCCGAAACAACTTCGCGCACGCGCGCAGCGGCCGCGCGACGACGCCACTGAACAAGAGGCCGGTGCTTGCGAGCTCGGCGCCCCACGTCAAGAAACGCGGCCGCGTGCACTTCGACAGCGCCCCGTTCCCTGGCAGAGCCTGGGGGGGGGAGAGCCCGCCAGCCGCGGCGGGCGCATGTCCCGCAGAACGCGGGCGTAGACGCAGCGAGCGGCCTCGGAGAAGGAAGCCGGCGCGCACTCCGCCTCAACGCCACTGCCAACCGCGTGCCCCTTTCATGAGCTGATCTTTATGCTTCACGCTTCGCGTACCCCCACCAGCTAATTCAGAAGCCCTGCCCACGAGAGCTGACGGGAAAAGGGACGAAAGGGACACATCTAGGGGAACAAAGCGAACAACCAGGATGAACCGAGAGATCTCTGGGAGCCAAGGGGTGGCCTTGGAAGGCCTCTTCGGGCCATCCCTGGGGGCCGCGTGGGGGCGAGGGAAAGAGGAGGAGGAGGAAGAGGAGGAGGAGGAGGAGGAGGAGGAGGAGGAGGAGGAGGAGGAGGAGGAGGAGGAGGAGGAGGAGGAGGAGGAAGGGGAGGAGGAGGAGGAGGGGGCCTCTTGGGCGCCTCTTGGGGCACTTTTGGGGCCTCCTGGGAGCTTCCTGGGGGCCTCTTGGAGGGTTGTTGGCGGCCTTTGGGGGGTCGTCTTGGGGCCCTGTTGGGCATATCAGGGGTTCCTACAGGCCATTGTGGGCGTCTTGGAGGCCTCTTGGGCAGTTTTGGGGCCCTCTTGGAGCCGTTTATGGGGCCTTTTGGGACGTCATGGGGCCATCTTGGAGGCCTTTTGGGCGAGCTCTGGGGCCTCTTGCGCCGTCGTGAGCCGTCGGAATGCCGAAACGAAGCAAACGCCAAAGTCTTTGAAACAACTCTCGGAAAATCAATGATTTTGGCATCTTCGGGCCCTCCTGGAAGACCTCCTGGACGCCCAATTGGGGACATCTTGGGCCGTCATGGGGCCATCTTGGAGGCCTCGTGGGTGCTTTTGGGGGCTTCTTGCCGTCTTGAGCCGTCGGAATGTCGAAAAGAAGCAAATGCCACAATCTTTCAAACACCTAAGTACTATCAATGATGTTGGCCTCTTCGGGCCCTCCTGGAGGATCTCTTGGAGGCCTCGCGGGCCGTCTTGGAGGCCTCTTGGGGGCCATCTCAGGCCGTCTTTGGTGCATCTTGGGCCGTCTTGGAGGCATCTCGGGGCCATCTCAGCCGTCTTGGAGGCCATCTTGGGCGTCTTGGAGGCCCCTGGGGCCATCTTGGGGCCCTCTTGGGGCCTCTTGGGGCTCTCTTGGGGCCCTCTTCGGGGCCCTGGAAGGCGTCTTGGGGCCATCTTGAAGGCCATCGATCAAAGGAGAAGCTGGGATAACTGTCAGCCCCCCCCCCAAAGATGCCAACATGCAGCCAAAACCTTGGTAAAACCAATGATTGGGGCGCCAGAGGACTGGTGGGATAACGTTCAGCCCCCCCCCAAAGAGGCCAAAGTGGGGCCAAAACCTTAGTAAACCTTTGCATTTGGCGCCCAGAGGGCTGGTGGGGCCACGCCCGGTCCCCCCCAAAGAGGCCCAAATGGAGCCAACACATGGGCAAAACAAATGATTGTGGCTTCCTCGCCGAGGCCGTTTCAGACGCCCTGACACCTCGCGGACCCCCCCAACAAAAAGTCCACGGGAGGGGTAAGGGGAGGGGTCAAGGCTCCCTCCCCGCCTGCAAGCCGTCTCGCTCACTCCCACCCGCCCTCCCAACAAATACGTAGCACCCGAATCTGGCCCGAGCCTCAGCATATTCAGCGGTCGTCTTTGGATGGGCAGCAACTGGGGGCCAATCCGCCGCCGCCGCAGCCGCCGCCGCCCGCGCCGCCGCCGCCGCAGCCGCCGTCGCCGCCGCCGCCGCCGCCCCCGCTGCCCGTCGCCGCCGCCACCGCCGCGCCGCCGCCGCCGCAGTCGCCGCCACCGCCGCCGCGCCGCCCGCCGCCGCCGCCGCAGCCGCCGCCGCCCCCGCTGCCAAATCTCCGCAGCCGCTGCCGCCGCAGCCGCTGCCGCCACCGCCACCGCCGCCGCCGCCACCGCCGCAGCCGCCGCCGCAGCCGCCGCAGCTGCCGCCGCCGCAGCCGTCGCGGCCGCCGCCAAGTGTATTTCGTATTGTTACTGTTGACAGGGATGGTGGGGGGAGGCCGCATCGGGTTGGCTGCGCATGTTCGGAATTTGGAGGCATAGTGTGTGTGTTTTTATAATTGTTTTTTTGTTACGAGGGATGGTGGGGGGGGCCCTCATGGTTTTGGGTTGGCTACCAGTGGCCTGGGGGAGGGGATGTTTATTAATAGGGAACAGTGATAAACCCTTCCCCGTAGGGGAAGAGGGGGTTTTGGAAGAGGGAAGAGGAATCTCGTTAGACCACCTGGCGGGATTTAAGCTGAGTTGCGCCCACAAGTGCGTCGCCTGGAGTCCGCCCCCCGCCGCGCCGCCAGCACCGCTGCCCGAGCCTGGCGACCCGGGTCTTGAGTCGTTCCAGGGCCGCGATTCGGAGTGCGTGGTAAAAATGATGCATTTGCTTTCCCGCGAAGTGCTTTCCAACAGCCCGCGTGAGATCCCACGGAGTGATCGCCACCCCGGGGCGTTGCCACTCGAAGGAAACGGCCCTTTGGCATGGTGCGCACACGCGGGTGACCTGAACATGCCAGTTTGGCCGGAGACCTTCGGCACGGACGCCAGACGCCACGCCCAGGACCCGAAAGCCCAAATGCGATCGTTCGCATGCGCCCACCGCACCCATGTTGGCACGCCCCTCGCACGCTTCGTGGCCCCATAGGGGAGCCCCACCGAAAGCCCAAATGCTTGCGTTCGCATGCGCCCACCGCACCCATGTTGGCACGCCCCTCACACGTTTCGTGGCCCCATGGGGAGCCCCACCGAAGGCCCACATGTCAGGCTTCGCATGCACCCACCGCACCCATGTTGGCACACCCCTCACATGTTTGGTAGCCCCACAGGGAACGCCACCGAACGCGGTGTATAAAACGACGGTGCCCACAACTGCAGATGGTTGAGTTTCTCGTCAGGCGAATTACTTCTGCATGCCCCGCCAAAGTTGTAAGCTGCGGGTCCGCTCCAAGCGCATGCGGTTCCGAATGCTCCAATATGGTTTGGCCCTGTGCTTCTATTCTCTCTCGCCGCATCCGCTGGCCCCTTGCACTTCGTTCGCCGCCCTGCTGCCGCTGCCACTGCTGCTGCTGCTGTTCGCCCTCCCCAGCCATGACGAGGCGCGCAGCGCCACCGCCTCGCACCAGCAGCTGTTCGGGCTTGACGGCATGCGGCCGAGCACGCGCGAGGAAAGGAGGCCGGCCGACGGCTCGGGCCCTGGCTCGCCCCTCCCCCCACATCCCCCGCGCGCCACGAAGAGCTCCCGACGGGCGATTATGACTTGTCTATGTTTGGAGACCATCCGTAGCCTTTCGGTTAAAGTGGCAGCTCTTAAAACTCGCTCTTAGTTCCTGTACGCTTGCTTCCCCCTAGGGACCAGACGGCGTTTCGTGCGTTTGCCCCGTGACACTCTTGGCCGGCTCCTCCTTGTCTGTGTCCACAATGGACGTGAATTCTGGCTCAGCTGCCGACGAATGCGTGCATGGCGCAGCTGCGAGGTGAGATGAAGGACGCGGAGCAGCAGGAACGAGGAGGCCATGGCGTTCATCAGCCAGCAGATGGCAAGAAGTACGAGACGACCAGAGTGGCGTGATGTGCCATCGAGACAATTGCGTTGCCATCACCTGCGGCGCAGGCTACCAGTGCTGCAACTCGACGTGCTCATACCTGACCAGCCAGTCTACGCCAGACTATGCCATCTGCTGCCCTCTGGACAATCACTGCAAGGACGACACCGTTTTCGTGTCCTGCGCTCCTGGGGCCTGGCTGTAGGCGTCCCATTGGGAGGGTTAGCTGGCATTTTCAGTGTCCGCCGTTACTTCTTGAATGTTCGTCGTTACGCCAGTGCCCTAACGCACGAAGCTTTTCCTAGGCGTGAGCCACATCGGGCCAACGCAGGCCCACACGCTTCAGTCAATGTCACGTGTCACATGCGCCAAAAATGTAGCCACAAAGAGCGAGTCTGGACATGCTTAGTTATGCGGTGTACATCGGGAGGTCGTAGAAATATATGATTTCCGCACATGTAGGTGCTGACTGAACCATGTGGACGCCCATGTGGACGCCCACGTGTAAGGCGACGATCACAGTGGAGACTCTCACGCCCATGACAATGATATTTACCACCCCATCCAGGGCGTGGTCCTATGAGGCAATTCGCTTGTTTCACCCTCCTGTTGCCTGTTTGCCTTGCGTGCTCGCCCACATTGACCGCTGACATGTGCTCCAAGCCATTGTTGAAGACTATTGAGCAGATGTTTCGCCCAAGGAGTCTCTTGGAGGCCTCTTTGTGCGATCTCGACGCTTTATCGGGACCATGTTGGGGCCCTTTCTGGCCATCTCGGGGCATTGTGGGTGCGTATCTCGGGCCCCTCGTACAAGGCTCAAGACGAGGCCCGAAGTGTACTCGTAATGATTGCTGCCACGCCATTTGTTTTCACCACATCCCGAGGCCCTCTTAGGGTTATGTTGGGGCAGTCTTGGGGCCCCCTCAGGGGCCATCTTGGGCTTCCCAAGGCCACTTGGAGGCTGTCAATGCAGGCGCCATATTGGACCCGCGGGCACGGTTCAAGATGGAGCCCGGCATGTATGACACCATTTGTTTTGAGCACGTCTTGGGGCCATATTTGGGGCCAGATTGGGACGTCTTCGGGCCCTCTCGGCGCCATCTTGGGACTCCCCTCGGCCATCTCGGTGCCCTTTGCGGGTCATCTTGGGCTCCTCAACAGGACTCAAGACCGATCCTCCGTAGCCATTTCGGCTCAAGCCAGTCGGGCCCAAGAATTTGTAGCTCAAGTCGGCCTCAGTGCGCAGACATTCCGGTCGAAGTTGTTTAGCAGCGTAATGGTATTTGAAGAGGCATGGGGCAGCGGATGGCAAGTCTTTTATGGTTGGGTGATCCAATTGCCCCCCTATATCTTTTGTGATGAGCGAGGAGGCCATGGGTCCAGGATTCACTGTCGTCCTGTTCATCGGGGTGGCACACCTCTGGCTCACTAATTACGTGTCAGTGCAACCTTCACTCAGAAGAGTGTCACTCAAGTATTAACGCCGATTGGAGAAAGACCAAAGGCATACGGTGCTGGCCGCTGGCGCAGTCGACAGCATGGCGCTGGCGTTGGGCGTGAATTGCCTGATGAATCTGAACGCCCACGGCGGCACCCGTGGTGTATCGGAGTAGGCGTGCATGTTCTTGAAAACGGGCATCTTCCTCTTCCAGGTGGCGATGTTATTCTTCGACGTTACGTATGGTTTGAAGGGTCTCCGCAGCACGCTGGTCAATTCCTTCCTGGGGTCCCCCGACGAGAATCCTGAATGAAGTGTGCCCCTGGTGGCGGCTAGCGGTGCGCATACGTAGCGTGCTCTCGGAGGCGATTGAGAGCCGCCATTGCGCCAACAGACTTCTTGTCCTCCTCCTCCTCTTCCTCCTCCTCCTCCTCCTCCTCCTCATCATCATCATCATCTTCCGATGAACCGCTTCTCTTCATTGTACTCCTACATGCAGGGCCGCGCCCATTTAGAGCGCCAGAGTGCCAAGCAGCAGTACGTTGCTTAGGCAGGCCCGTGCTAAGCGACTGGAATGGGCAAACATACCAACCAACACTTGTCAGTGATCGATGTCTGCGTCGATTCGGGCGGGGCTGGTCTGGGCTGGTGGGGGGGGGAGGGGCGGAGGTGGTGGTGGAGGGCGAAGCACATGCGCTTGCATGATCACAAGCTTCATGAGGTCGCGCGGGAGGCCCTCGCGCAGATGTAGAGGGCCCGGGTAGCGGGTTGTCAAGCCTTGATTCGGTCAGGTTCGACAGGGAACGATTTTGGCGTCCCTCCGTCCACTCAGGTTTTTCACTGTTGGGGTGAGCGGATCGTGCGGTTTGGTGGTTTGATCTTGCGTGGCAGTGCCACGCAGTGGTCTCTCTTTGCGTTAGTCCCCACATCCTAAGTTGGGCCCTTGTTTTCTTTGGACAACCCGCGCAGTCCTCCCACACCATCTCCTCTTCACACCCACTCCTCCGATCATCATTATCATCATCATCATCATCATCAGCATCATCATCATCGTCATCATCATCATCAACAGCAACATCATCATCACCATCAATCATCATCTTACTCATCATCACGACTACCACTATCCCATCAGCACCATCAAGCCTCAACGTCGTCCACACCCCCTCACACCCACTCGAGCACCCTCATTCACTCACAACTTTCTCACTCACTCTGCGGGAGAGACCGTGATGACAGTCTCTTTTGATGGCGGTCTCTCTGGCCTCTTCGCACTTACACACCCACGCACTCACATCACCATCGCACCCTTACTCGATCATTCTCAGTCGCGCATAACTTACTCACTCTCCCACTCACTCACTCACTTCTCCTGGGTGGCTCGCCCACACACACGCAATCATTCACGAACCATCATCACCACTTGCCTCCTCCCCATCATCATCATCATCATCATCATCATCATCATCATCATCATCATCATCATCATCATCATCATCATCATCATCATCATCATCATCATCATCATCATCATTCACACCACTATAATCTTCATCATCATCATCATCACTTGCCTGTGTGTCGTCTCGGGCGGGAGCCTCCATTTTTGCCCCCCTGAAGCCTGTAACGGGGGAAGTATCATGCGGGAACCTCGTTTGCTAGTGGATTGCGAGGAAGTCTCAGGCGGGAACCTCCGCCTTATGTGGCCCGCAGCCCATGTTCGAAATTCGAGGCGGCTCATCGGAACCATGTAACTGTCGTCACGGTCGGGCTACCGGGGCCGGGGCGTAGAGGAAGTTTCAGGCGGGAGCCTCGTTTGTGAGTGAATTGCGAAGAAGTCTCAGGCGGGAGCCTGGGGCCCACAGCTCACGTTTGTAATCCAAGGCGGGTCATTTTGAAACGTGTAAAAGTCGTCACTGTGAGGCTCCTCAGGCCTGAAGCTAAAGGACGTATCAGGCAGGAGCATCGTCTGTGAGTGGATTGCGAGGATGTCTCAGGTGGGAACCCCTTCCCTATGGGGCCCGCAGCTCATGTTTGAAATCCGAGGCGGGTCTGTAAGTGTCGTCACATTTGAGCTCCTGGGGCCTGAGTATGGAGGTAGTTTCAGGCGGGAACTTCGTTTGTGAGTGAATTGCTAAAAAGTCTCAAGCGGGAGTCCCTCCTTATGGGCCCGTTGCTTATGTATTTGACCCGAGCGGATCATCGAAACTTTGTGATTGTCGTCGCTATTGGGTTCCTGGGGCGTGAGTTGGAGGAAATTTCAGGCGGGAGCTTCGTTTGTGAATGACTTGCGAGGAAGTCTCAGGCGGGAGCCCCTGCATTATGGGGCCCGCACTTCATGTTCGAATGTGAGGCGGGCCATCGGACTCTTGTAACTGTCGTTATCTTTGGGGTCCTGAGGCCTGGATATCGGGAAAGTATCAGGCGGGAGCCTCGTTTGTGAGTGAATTGCGGGGAAGTCTTAGGCGGGGGCCTCCGCCCTGGGGGGCCCGCAGCTCACGTTCGAATCCGAAGCGGGTCATCCTCAAACTTGTATTTGTCGTCACTTTTGGGATCTAGATGCGTGAATATGGGGGAACTATTCGGCGGGGGCCTCCACAGCGAGTGATTGGTGAGGTATCTGCGCGTGCCTCTGGCCGCACTGGGTTGCGGATGTCGCATTAAGCGAGGCGAGAGGCTTTGGCCTCGTCAGGTATGCGAGCCTCTGGCCGCGCACGACTCCTGTATGATCCAGCCAGCGTCGGCGAGAGCCTCTGGCCTCGTCAGCTCTGCGAGCCCCTGGCCGCGCAGCTGGTAATCATTCAGTCGACGGCGAGAGCCCCTGGCAACGTCAACTGCGTAAACCTCTGGCAACGCAGGCTCCCAATATCACGAGGACGACTATGAGGTTCATGTCCAGATTAGCCGAGCGGACTCTCATGCGGGGTCCTACCGTCGGAGTAATTGTTTTTGGGCGCCGCTTCGCTGAATGAGTTCAATGGATGCCTGTGGCACAAGAAAACATGACCCAAGACCGAGGAGGGCGCCCGTCGAGGGAAGAGAGCGAAGGTACCCAGGAGGTGCGCAGCCACGGTCGCGGGCGCCGCCGTGCTGATGTTCCTCGCCGCGCTGCTGCTGGGCGCCGACGGCCGCGTGGCCCGCCGTTGGCTGCTGTCGCGGCCTCTTGGGCAGAGTGGGCGTCAAGCGCCTTCC